CAGTGGTTGGTTTTTGAATTACGGATTCTCATTATCTATGTCAAGTTACCTTTTCGCCTTTTTCTACCAGAGTTTTTTAATTTTATTTTTGGTTAGTTCTTTATTTGGGATCTTATCCGAGATCGAACGCTGCATATTATTGCGTTGTTTTAACAGTCAGCTTTTATGTTTCATGGTGGCGAGTAAGCTAAATCAGTGCACGCAAGAATTCTTAATTCTTTGTAATCAGAATTTTTGGGATGCGTGAATATTCCGAATCTTGTAAATTAATTCACTTTGCAGGAAAGAATTAAGATTTTATATTGCATATTCCCGCATTTGAAAGCACGGAACCTTTATTAACAAAGATCTTTGTAATTGACTTGATAAGTCGCAACGTGACCGAGAAATTCTCATACGAATCGGTTCTAATATTTCTCAGCACCAAGTATTAATACTTTAATGGCATTATCTTTTCTATCCCTGACCATTTCGAATGCACTTACACATTCCTCAAATTTAAATTTATGTGTGATGAGTGGGTCTAAATTGATCAATCCGGCTGCGACCATTTCGACAGCTTTCTTGTACGTGTTGCAGTATCTAAACGACCCTTTGATCGTAATCTCGCGAATTGCAATGTCTGATAATTGTAAGGTTACGTTTTCCGAGCCCATTCCTATCTGAACAAAGGTTCCCCCCGGCTTTGTCATCTAAATTATACATTCAATTTCAATCAATCCACGCAAAGTTTCGTATTAGGGATTTAGAATAGTTGTACTCACATAGATACCAGTTTGTGTTGAACATTCGACACCGGAACACTCGAGCACAACATCAGCTTGTTCGATGCCAAATTCTCTTATAATGCTTTTCGAAAATCTTTCAGAATACTCAATGGTACCTTCTCCAATTACCTTGGCCGCTAAAATAATTTCATCGGCAACATAATTCTTGGCAAAATTTAGTCGGTGTTGATCGACATCAACCATTGTTATTTTGACCGCCCCTGAGGACTTTGCGACAGCCCCTGCCAATAAGCCAACAGGCCCCGCACCAAATATAATTACAGTTT